TTTGATTATTATTTTGAAAACTAACCCACTTAGCGTAACAATTTATGTATGTATGTTGTATGGTACAGAACGCCTTTAGAAGGATCTAGTTGACCAGTTGTTACAAAGATCATTGATTATATTATTTCATGGGACAGCTGATCACCAGCATCTTGCTTTACTCACCCCCTTGCCCACCCATCACGGCAAATCGCTGACCTCCGTGTTGGTTTTCATCCGTGTACAGTTCATTGTCGTAATTCAGTCAGTCAATTGTTTTTTGTGTCACTTTTTTTTCAGTTGCAAGCGCCTTCGCTTGAATAGTAAATTGTTCGGCCATTGTACGCAGTTATTCTTTTATTTGTTTATTGCACCCTTGTGCTCAAAGTTTACGTGCCCTTGCACGCCACTAGTGATTGGGCCCAGACCTTTACTAAACATTATCATTGCCGTAGTCTGTTCTCATCTGCCATTACGTACCTGGATTTACACTCAGACTCGTCATACTCAGATGTTCGAAACCATTACCACAAGATCTCACACAGTCTACTCATCATCATCAATAGCTTCATCTATTCGGTTGAGTTTATATTATTTTTTAATGTTATTTATTGTTTGTTTTAATAATTAAAATAGTTAAATAGTTAATCTAAATTATTTAGATTAACTATTTTGTTTTATGCTGCTTCGCCAGCCATTAGTACTTAAGGGCCCCCGTTACCCCTTAAATTTAAGATACTCTCTGAGGAATTTCTAATATATGTGATTATTTGTTATTTAATTATTGTCTACTCTCGTTTACTTATTGGATGTATAGTTAGCCGTCATCTCCTAGGTGACCCACTCCCGCAACAATAATAACGTTTTTTAAACAGGCTTGAGGTAAAACGGCATTCTAGTGCGGTGTACAACTAGCCGTTCTACGATCTAGCTGACTCGTACAAAATATATGTATAGAATATAAATTATAAATTTTAATATTTTCTTCTAAAATGGTATTTAAAAAAATGTTCTAAAATTATTTTTACTTGCTCAAAAAAATAAAATAAAAAAATAATTTGCTAAAATTCATTTTTTGAGTATAAATCATTTTTAATTTTCAAAATAATCATTTTACAACAAAATTTTTCGTAAAAAAAAAATATATTAAGTTAAATTTTCTAAAATATTGGTCTTATGTAAAATTATAGTCAGATTTATAGTTTTGCTGTTTTAATAACACAAACGATATAAATAGGATTGTTTAGAACTGTTTATTCAGGTTACTACGATTATAAATAGGATACAATTAATAATAAAAAAAAATTAGTGATGGGCATTTTCAAATATTTTAAACTATCGATTAACTATTCAAATTGTGTTTATACCACCAAATATTTTATTTTAGCATAAACTATCAAATATTTTAAAAACTATTCGAATATATTGTGTAACTATCGAATATATTTACTAATCAATTAGTTTTTGAATAACTATCGAATAGTTCCATAGTTACTATTCGATATTTCCCATCACTAAATCCCAACACTGAATATGAAACGCTACGATAAAAAAACCCCAATGTTATAACCGCATTCACTATATTAACATGAAAATAAAAGATGAAATAACTGTGTTAAAAAAAAAAAAAATTATATTAAATTAGAATTTTAATGAAACTCATTCTCCGGTGAGATTTAAAACAATGTCAATTGGAGAGCTAAAAGAAGATAAATATACGCAAAAATAATTTTAATTATTAAGATTAGTTATTTAATACAACTCATTAGGTAAAGAATACGAGTATCAATCTCACAACGCAACACAACAGTTACTAGTGTTGACAAAAAAACGTTCACGGAAAACCTATACAGATGGAACATCTAATTGTCACTTTTGATACGATTTACATTTCGTTTTTTTTAATAATTTATGTATTTTAAAACCACGTAAAATCAAATTTTTTATTATTTGTTTTTAATCATCATTATAGTCTCCACAGCCTCTTTTTGAACTAGTTAAGTTCGGCTCTACCTTATTAATTTGAAAGGATTATTACACCGTATGTCGATCTGACGCATTCTTATTATAACTGAAGGTACCATTAAGGGACCAAGGTTTGACTCACTGTTTCAGTCCTCAAATAGTGATCCATCCGGAAACCAACAGCAAACAACAGTTGAATATCAGTGCTAAGTAGGCTACTGAAAGATTCGCAGTACTACACCAAGCCTATTATTTGTTTTTCATAATAAAAATAAATAAAAACTAATTTTATTATAATTTTTTTTTAATTAAAAAATGTCTTTCTTTTTTGTTTTTTTATAAAAAAAATTGCAATTCATATTTATTATGGATTAAAATTATTTTGATACACGATTGTCATAGAGATAACGAAATATACAACTATTATATAATTTCTTAATTATAAGATTCTAAAAATTACAATCTTAAATTATTGAATATATAATTTATATTTAATATCATAGTAAATTTAATTACTACAATAAATGTTTATTTATGTACCTATTATAATTTTATAATGTATAATATACAAAACTATAATCAGGATATAATAGATAAGATAGGAATTGATGTTGTTTTTGGAATAATCAAATAATTTCTTTTAAATATTTAACACTATATACAGATTTTCATTGAAGCGTTTTTAATGATAGTAATTTTAATCACTCAAACATCATATAAACTTGCGCAAACATGCCGCGTACCCAATGCGCCGCGATCCGCTCACTACGCTATGTTTTAGCTTTGATGCGAAGCTGAGAAAGTATTAACTTTACTATAATGTGTTTTTTTATTTATTATTTAATCTCAGCTCATATTGGACCGATATTAATGAACAACACGTCAAAAGATCATACAAATCGTATCTAGCCGATGCCATTATCCTCAAAAATTGAAAAAAATTCTCTCGTTCCCAGTACACACGAAAAATCATCCAAAAAATTACAATTTTAAAAATCGGTAATATTCGACATTTTTTCAATTTTTTTTAATTGCCATAACTTTTTTAAAAGTGACCAAATCAATATAATTTTGATGATTTGATATGATAGGTTTGTTTGATAGGAAATGATTACTATTATTTCTTCTTAAGTTATCTATTTCGATAAAAATGCAAAAAAATATTCAGCTTTTTTGATAAATTTACTATAAATAGTAATTATAAAATTTTCTATTTAATGATGTCAATTTCAAACTTGCAATTTGAGCAAAAAGTTATGGTAATAAATTAGTTTTTTTTTATTATAAACTTTCACAAAAATCAACTTTAAAAGATTAAAAAAATAGTAATTATAATTAATATTATTAGTAATAATATTAAAACTTAGAAATGATAGAAAAAGTCTAATTGTACATTTGAAACCATTGCGAAAAGTTGATTTAGAAAAGTATATATTTGTTTCTGATGAAAGTTCCTTGTAGTCCAGTGTATAAAACTTATAACTTTGTTATAAGTAACAAAAAATTTTTATTGAAAAGTATTGCATTTAAGCCCTTTAAATTTTTATAAGCTTTAAAAGTAAAGAAATATACAACTACTTTATTATAATAATATATTATTAAATATATTTTTATAATATATTCGTAAAAATTACAATATTAAAAATAATTTAATATAAATATCATACTAAATTTAATAATTATAATTATTATTTATTCATAAATTATAATTATAAATAAAATAACTAATCGGGATAAAAATAAGGGAATAAGAGTTATGGTTGCTTTTGAAATAATCTACCAAATTCTTGAAATTAAACACTATCTACAGATTTTCGTTTCTTATGATAGTGATTTTTATCACTGTCAGATATCATCTATACTTGTCCCAACTATGCTACGTCCATACTATGCCGCGACCTAATTGTTCTACCGTTTTTTTATAGTATGAGTTAATGTGAACTTTTGTGATCATTATTAGCTATTCGTTTTATGTTTTATTTAATTTATTTGTTCTTTTTTTGATGATTTTTAAAAGTAATTTGATGTTATGCTTAGTGTCGATACTAGTAATTATCATTTTAAATTTTATAATTCTCTTCCACTTGTAAATTCTACTTTGACGTTAAATTTTTAATACACATTTTATTTATAATAAATGAATATTGAACTAAGATTACATTAATTAATTTTAATAAATAAATACATTAATTTTCAATAATTTACTATACACAATTTTAATTTCAAACAAATATAAAATTCGGAATCTTATTATTTCAAACTGCTTAATTTTATTTGCAATTAAGTATTTATTTTAAAGTTCAGATTTTTTAAATAGATATAACTCCTTTATTAAAGTTTTGTTTATCCTAAACTTGATTTATAAAAAAAAATAAACACATCATGGTAGAATTACTACCTTCTCAGCTTCGCATCGAAGCTAAAAGCAAACAGGAACTATATAAAACAATACTTTTTTTTTTAAATTATATCATATATAATTAAATACTAACGATAGAAAATTTATAATTATGATGATAAAAAGTAGTATAATAAATAAAACTAATCATAGATTTTATTCAGTTAAGTATTAAGCACAGACTGGAAATGGTGTTTAGAGATTAAACCCTTTTCAGAAAAATTACATGTATAATTATAAAAAAAAGAAACTTTAGTGAGGAGAAATTAGATATAATAATTTCGTTGATATAGAGTCTTAATCGAATAAGCTTTAATAAAATCACTATGATTGTAAAAGAGTTATATCAAAATTTGTGATATTTGATATTTTTTTTATGATTTAATAAAAAAATCATATGATTTTTATGATTCTCTATACAAATTTGCTAGTAACTTACATGAAATTTGACTCCAACTATTTATAAATACTAAAAACAAAGTAATTCTTATGTAAAGTTCAAATGATGAAAGCATTTATCTCAAAACAATTTTTTTGTGAATTGCGGTCTTCTTGCACTCACAGATAATATTGTCTACCGTCGTTTTTTTTTATAATATATTTCATGCGATATCTAGTGATTAAAAATACAACTTATTTTATCTGTAAAAAATTAAATTGTCTGATAAAAGCAAAAGAAAAAACTTATTTTAAAAGGATTTATTTATATTTATATTTCAACAGTCGTTACTATTAAAATAATTAATTATAACATATTTTAAAATTACAACTTACTTTAAATCTTTAAATTATCAAAAAATATGAGTTCAGATAAAGATGATGCTAATGCCCATGGTAATTTAAGTTTGACTTCAGAAGAATAGTAAGTCTTGTAAAAATTTATTTGTTTTCTAAAAATTTACTAAATTCATCTTCTAACACTGTTATATCGTCATGCAATTTTATTCTAATATTTTGTTTTTTCAATGAATCAATAAGTTCCAATTGTTTTCGAAAAGCCAATATTAAAATTTCTTTTTCTTTACTACATTTACTTAATGCATCTTCATTTTTTGTTATTAATTTTAAATATTTTTCTTCATTTTCTCTCAGGGTCATTTCTAATTTTTTTACCATTTCTTTCAGTATTTTATTATCATCATTAGTTTTTAAAAATAATGATCTTTGCTTTTCATATGTCATTTGCTCATGTTTATATTTCTTTTCTAATAAATTTAGTTCTTTTAAAATTCTACCTAATTCAAAATCCCTTGTTTTCAAATTTCCACTAAGAGTATCAACGTCTTTCTCATACTTCTTTATCTTCTCTTTAAGTAAAGACAGTTGATAAGTATATTTTTCTTTTTCTTCATTCAGTTTTTTATTCTCTTCTTGTAAATTATCACAACTATCATCTTTTTTTACAATTTCATTGTTTAGACGATCTATTTCTTTTTGTAAAACATAATTTTTTATTGTCACTTCTTTACTTGATATTGTTTTTGTTTCTTCAATTGTATGACCATTATCAATTATTTTCATAAATGTTTGAAACTCTGATGTTTTCACTGGTTTTTGTTTAAAATTTTTGTGCACCTCATTTGAGATTTCATAGATATCTATTTTATTTTTCATTTCATTGATTTCTTGCAAAAATTTTTTTGTTAGTTTATTGTTTTCTTCATACTTTATTTGTAATACTTCTTCATTTTTCAATATTTCACCTTCCTGATTTTCTTTTTTGGCCATGATATCAATTCAAATTTTTTTTTAATATATACACAAAAAATTATATTATTCGGCAAAATGTTTGGATAAAAGTCAAAATATTTTAAAAATTAAAAGAATTTATTAATATATTATATTCTGTTTTGTTTATACATTCTATTATTTGCCTAGTTACCATTAATGTTATTAATGTTTGTTTATATATATATTAGTCTATTATATTTTGCTTGATATACAGTGTTACCAAAATAATTGTTGCAATACTTAATTTTTAAATTTTAATAGAGTACTTTTTATTTCAAGTCAATTTTACAGGTCATTTATAAACATTTAACTTGTCATTTTTATACTTGTAAGGGATTTCAATAGAAATTTTTGAAGTTTTTAAGAACATAATTCAATATTTTTAGAATATTAAATCCAGACCCTTATTACTATTTTTATTATTTAATTTGTGTAAAAAGATTTATTTTAAAAAATGAATTTCTGTTCTTGGAGTGTTTGTAAATGTATTTTGTAACTAATTTATACTTACAATAACAATTTTTAATTTTAATTTAATGAATTTTCCATCCTTTATTTCTATTATAATATGCATTTACACAAAAAATTTTTATATTACTTTCTTTATAAAAAGTTTTAAAGGGTAAATGTAAATAAGTTATCTTGTTTAATATTTAAATATAATTAATTAAATATATATGTATAATTTTTGTTTGATCCAATAAATTATAAATAGTAATTTACTTTATTTTTAAATTTTTTAACTTACATTTTATAGTTGCATAGAAAAATGTATAAAAGTGATACATGAAGCTGTTCAGATATGAAATTTATTTTTAATCTTCAAATAGATGTACTAGATTTAAAATAATTAAATAATGATCATTAATATGCAATTTAAATATTTTCAACGATTCCTAATGTATAAAATTACCCCAGTAATATTTATCAGGGATTAATTGAATATGAAAAAAATCCTATTAAAATAAAATATTTTAGTATTTAATAATAAATCATTTTTCTGTTATTTTTATGTTTAATTTTATTTAATAATGAATTCATAAATCAATTTTAAAATAATTCAAATGAAAAACATTCAACCAATATCTTTTGTTAAAAAAAACGAGTTAGATTATATAACATAAAGCTCAAACCATATTTCTTTATTTGATTTAAAATATCAAACTTCTTTATAATAATTTTCAACCTATATTTTATATTTGCTATAAAACAAATTAACAACAATTTTTTGCTTATTACAGTTGGAACGATGCTTATACACTAGAATTTAATAACTTTAAAAACTTTGGTGATCATGGTGCTGAATGGTTTGGTAGCATCATAGGAAAAAAAATGATAGAGTATTATAATTTTATTTAAACTAATTAGTTATTAAATTTAACACAAACAATCTATATTGTGCACTTACAATTGGAACATTGTAATTGATTAATTTAGTTTTATCCTTTAGTTATTGACTTTGTAATTTAACTTTTATACTTACTTTTATAATGAAGCAATCAATTCTTTAAGTAGTTTAAGATATTTTTCAATGTCAGGGATAAGACAATTTTATATAGAAAAATATTTAATTTTTCTTTTTGTAAAAACTAAGCTGAGATTAAAATGTTTAAGAAAAGTAACAATTAAAAAAACCTTTTAAATCCCAACTAGTGTTTGATATTCAATAAATATTTTAAATATTAAATTTTCAAAGAATATTTCATCCCAAGTTAAAATAACTTTATAAAAAATCCGATATTATATTACAAGTTTTTTTAGTTGTATACAAAAATTTTGTGACCTTAAACAGGAAGATATTATCTTAGATGTTGGATGTGGAAATGCACTTCTATTAATTAAACTAGTAATTATTATTGTATTCTTTATTATTTTTACTTATCTATTTTCTTTCAATTAATATCTTATCACATTAAAAACTTTATGTGTTAATTGTTTTAATATAGGCAAAGTTAGGTTTTTCTAATCTTTACGGTATAGATTACTCATCACCTGCAATTAAATTAGCTGATGCCATTGTACATAAAGAAAACATTGGTTGTATCAAACTTCAAGTGTTTGATTTCTTAACTGATGATGTGAGTTCTTTACCAACTTTTAAAATAGTTTTAGACAAAGGAACATATGATGTAATTGGTATGAATGATGAAAAAAATGTCAAACGAAATAAATATAAGAAAAATATATTAAATTTACTAGAGCCAAGCGGATTGTTTTTAATAGTCTGTTGTAATTGGACACAAACAGAGTTAAATGAACATTTTAATGATGGTAATTTCTTTAAAATATTGTAATTTTATGAATTATTGCTATAATAAACAATAAATTCCCTATAATTTTAGTTTTTGAAGTTGTACATACTATACCGACACCAAAATTTCAATTTGGAGGAGCAATAGGAAATACCATATCAGCAATTCTTTACAAGAAAAATGTATAATTATTTTTTAATACAGTTATTCATTATTATTTCTATTGCTATTGGTTTTGATTGTTTAAAAAACTTAATATCCTATTCCATGGTAGTTATTGTACAACAAAGCTAAAAATATTAAAGTAAAGTATACCGATGTTGTAGCATTGTCACCACCTAAAAATAAACATTTTTCATTAAAATTTGGTCATATATTTTGTATTTATTATATACAAAGTTATCAGTTTATGTTAAACCACTAGATTGCTCTCAAAATAAATACAATATTAAAAAATAAATTTTTGTTATTTTTTAATTGCATATATTTCTTGATTTATTAGTTATTAATTACTTTTTTAGACCCCTTATAACATGTAGGGATGTAAAATTTATTTTTTAAACTGTAACATACATATTTCATTATCTTTTAATTTGGAAAATTATCTAATTAAGAAAATAACTGGTCGATAACAACTTTTAGACCAGTACTTAGTATGTTATTTTCATTTTTATATCTATGCAGGACAAAGAGTACGCTGGAGAATTGCCTAGTAATAATAAATGTAACACTCCTTAACTCTAGTCGTACATTAAATTATTACTAACTTCTTAAAATACTGGTCCAAAAGTTGTTTTCGACCAGTCATTTTTTAATTAGACTATTTCCTATTTTATATACTAGTAAAATATGGATGTTACTATTTAAAAAAATAAAGATAACACCCCTGAAAGTTATAAGGAATGATTCTAAGAGATATTTATTAGCTTATAAATCAAAAATTATATGTAACTAAAAATAATCATAAATTATTTTTTCAATATTATATTTATCTTGTTAGAAATCAAGTGCTTTATGTTAAACCAATCACTCTTTATTTATGTTATATTGATTTTTTTTTTTTTTAATTCATAAAAAGAACCTTTCGATTTATTAATTAATCACATATATTGATTAAATGTTTATTAATAAAATATAAAACAAAAAATGAGAAATTATCAAATAAATGTCATATAATTCAAAATTTACTGCTACTATTTAACTTATAATTAAATGAAATCTTTATAAAAATAAGCACTTTTGGCATAATAATCAAACACAATCTTCAAAATACATTATTGCATGTAGTTTTAGCACTTACACATTCATATTTCCATACAATTTACAACATTTTGTACTGATTCGTAATAGTTCAAATTAAAAAAATTCTTAACATTTCATTACAAGTGCATAAAAAGCACGAATAAAAAAAACTTTTTTATATTAATTAATTACTCAATGACAAAAAAATTAATTCAAATAAATCCATTAAAAAATATATATAACGAAAAATATAACATAGCATTTTATAACAATATAATAATTTTACAAAATTCTAAATAGTAAAACGTTCTAAGAATTCATAGATATTTGTATTAAATATGTGTAAAAGCTTCCAAGCTTTAACGCATTCATAAGTATTAGAAAATGTACATATTCTATAAAAATGTAAATAAGTGAAGTTGAATTGATATAATAAAATATTACGTACAAAACATTGTATATAAAAACAAAACAATATTATTGTTTATTATTATTAATATTATTGCAATTGCATTATTGTATTAAAAAAAATTTCTAAGAACTAGGTATTGTACCATTACCCTATGAGAAATATCACCTTTAAAATGTAATTTTAAGGTAATGTCTGAAAACAAGTCCAGATGGAAACTACATTTGCCTCGCGATATGCGCACGCAGTAAAATGACGTCACAAAAATCATTTTATGAAACATTTCCGTAAAACTTGTCATAGGTGAAAATAAAAAAAAATGTAGGGGGCTACCCTCCAAAGACTCCTACCTATTTCTACCTTTGTACTTTGTCATGACCCGCTTTAATACTTAATTATGTCTGTTTAATATTTTTAAATCTTTATGTATTTTTAACTTACTGCTACAAGTACCATCTTCTTCTGCATACTCATCCCTGCACTGACAAATTTTAGTCTCTGGCACACTTTCATTCTTTTGACAACTAGCTAGCCGAATACAGTGTACATCAAGCTCACATGGTTCTCCTATACCTAACAAAATACAAATAAGATATAAAGTATCATGTTTTTTCCGTGTAAGGACATTTACCTTGTGGTTTTATTATGCAATTATTATTTATTGGATGTGTTTGATCGGCGCACAGGCATCGTTTACGATGATCTGAAGGATCTTCTCCACAGGAAGTTTTTGAAACTCTAGTGCAATCATTATCATTTCTACACTCTAATTTTCTAAATGTATCTAAAAATTTCAATGATTCAACTATTTATTTTTCAAATAAATTTTTATACTTTACATTTACTATTTGCGGTCATTAATGCTCTCTTATTTAAATAATGATGTTCACTCATAGTTTCAGAGAACACTTCTATTAAAACAATTGTTACTAAAAAAATTACCGTATTAGTGGTCATCTTGCTTACTGCGCGAATTTTGGAGGAATGACTAAAAAATTAGTTTTTAGCTTTCAAAGTTTCTAACGAATAGAAAAGGGTCGGTTTTCCGTTTCCTGTCATGCAACTTCCACGCCCAACTATATTTTATTACTCTTTGCATAGTATGTAAATATATATATATATATATATATAATTTATCTAACTTTTTGCACGAAATTTGAACATTTCGATCACGACCAGGAACCTTGAACCTCATTCGAAAATTTGATATCCATAATAGAATAAACCACGCGTGTTACATATTGCTTTTTAATTTATCATTCTTACATGTATTATATCTCTATAAGTTGAAAACATCACATTAATTTTACTAATCAATAATGATTGTCTTATCGTAGTTTTTGCCAAAATTGTATTTCCATTTTTATACTTATGAAATTACTTGCACTTTTCCTTAAAAATATAACTCCTAGGTAACAAAGAAATAAGATTTTAAATTAGCTGTGTACTGAAAGTTTTTATGAAAAGATATATAAAAACAGAGTTCATTTATGAGTTCAACTACTCTAGTAGTTAATATGAAAATTCACATAAATGAACTTCCAGTTTATGACATGCATGTGGAAATGATGTGCATAATGTATGAAAAAAGAAGTTTTATTAAATAGTCAAATAATTTTTATAACATTTCTGATTTTAAATGATAATAACTTATATAACTAGAAATTTTGAAAGAAGATTTTTACGTAATAAATGTATGATGTGTATAAGGTAATAAGACACAAATAACAATACTCAAATAGTGCGCGTCACTATCTGTAAGCTCAGTGTTACTCATATATATATATTTATTTATTAAAAAGAGTAGATTATTTTATCACCTGCGTTATCCTTTTCCTAGATACCATAATATTTAATTGACAATAATCAACCAGCTTCATGGCCACATTGCTATATTCTATGCAAAATAAGCCAGTTTAGGAAATGGAACACAACCGTTATGTTAGATCAATTACAGTGATGACAATAACAACTTAAGTATCGATATACATTTTTTTTATATGAATATTTGATAGTATAAGGTGATTCTTTGAACGTTAATAACACATTTTCTCTTAAAATAATAAGTGTTTAAACAATTTTTTTTTTATTTTGTTAGTTACATGTGTATGTCTATTTAACTTTTAGAACCAACCGTTATATCTTATTTAATTTTTAAAAAAATGTTTTATAATTAATAAATCGAGAAATGTATGAAACAAAAAAATATTTAAAATAATTTTTTTAACATAATTAAGAGAAGTCTAGTAGCTATTTGTTAAAAGAATCAATCTATAAATTGTAAACTCTTGGAAACACTTCGTAGACCCAGTGTACTTTATTGCTATCTCTCGTTCCTATTGTAAACTTCAGTTCAATATCTGTTGTTATCACTTGAGATTCAGTGTTCTAATCTATAAGGTTTCCAACCATTTCTTAGATTTTTAAATTGCAATCTGTTTCACAAATAAACAAATTATTTTGAACAATTCTATCATATGTCTATTGTAACAATAATGAAATTCCTATTGCTTTTGCTTCACATTTACTTACTAAAGCTGATTAAAGTACCTATTTTTAAGGTTTTAGAACAATAGGTCCAATCTAACAAGTCCAAACCTTATTTCAAATTTTAAATAATATTTCAAAGACCATCAAGTTATTTTACAACATATAAAAATATATTAACAATTAAAAATTTTGGATTTTACTATAAAACAAATTCTAATTTCCTTTGTTTCGTTATACAGTTATTAAAATTTTGTTTCAAATTAACTTCCGGGGGAGATATAATCCTCGTATCCCCCCGTAAATTACGTTTTAACGTTTTTTGACTTATTAGATTACAAGTCTAATATAAAAAATAATTTTTATTACTTGGCTACAATTAATATTTTACATTGTATAGTTATATAGGGTATTTAGCCAGGCAACGAGTTTCTACTATTCTCATTATTTGTAACAACTGGCTTGTTTCTTCACTTTTTGAAAACTCTATATTACAATAACAATAATAATATTATTATATATTAACTGCAATAACTGTATCAACTACAAATAATATACTTAACAAGTTTTTCGTAATGATATTCATTTTTTTTCTATCCATTTATATTTTAATTCATAAACAATATCAACAATTCATTAAAAATATCTATAAAAAATAAAGTTATGTTGACTTATGGTATATATTGTTACTATCGTCATTTACTTTATAAGGACAACACCAAAACGTATTGGAAATGTGAAACATGACAACTATGTAATGTATAACAAATATAAATTTGCAGAATCTACTGATACTCAAAAGCCATTTACACCAGCCAAAAGCCGCTGAAATTTATATAACACATATATATTATAGTTATAATACAAATAATTTTATGGAGGGGTTTGATTAAAATTAGGAAAATTATTGGCAGGATCATCAAGATTAAGATATTAACGATAATCATCTATGTAGATAACACATTTTTTTAAACTAATTAATTATATAAATAAAATAATATAAAAATTTCACACTTATATTTTATCAAAAAATTGTAAAATTATTATTAATATTTTTGAATAAAGAATTGATATAATACACCAGTATTTAAAATGTCAATCACATCCATCAATTTATTTAACCTTTATTGTCTTTATTGCAATTTTGTTGAAAGTATTTTTTTTTTAAATAGGACAGCAAGACTATTTATCTTATATTCATGAATCAAAAGACATGCGATTGTATAATATATACAAAAACATAAAGTTAGGTCTGGAAATTCACTATTTTTGACCATGTTTTATTCGAGTACAATAATGCGTGCCAGCGAATAATAATTATAACAACACACGCCACTATAACTTGAAAATCTCTTCAGGTTATGCACATACTTCGTAAGAATTGTCGTTAGTCACATTAATGAAAATTTTCAATGACATTACTAACCTTCAAACATTGGAACTATTCAAAAAATGATAAGTTGTGTACAAATTATTTTATAACGTTTTTAATTTTTATTAAAAATAAACTTCAACTTTCATTAAACTCGACATTTAATTATTGTGGTAATAGATTAATTATACAATATTATATTAATACAACTTTTATAATTTATATTTATAACCATTTAAACATAATTAGATGCAGATTTTTAGAAGCGATAGGGTTTAATTTAAAAATGCTCTTAGTTGAAGGACAAAGTAAAATATTTGTCAAATGGGTTATAACAAATAAATCCAAAGGCTCAGGTTTCAAAAAAATTAACTAGTGTTGTGTTGTAATTCAAATTAAAATAATAGTAAAAATGTTTTAATTTGTGCATAATGAATATTAATTAGACAATTATAAACCCTGTATATGTAATAAGTCATTATAATGACCATCTCAGTCTCAAACCTTTTTTGAAATACGAACTTTCAAGAAAATTTTTTTAAAAATTTAACGAATCAAAATAATTTTTTTTTATTTTAATACCTTTATGTTCAGGAAATTCTAGGTCCTATAAATATAGTTTAACTAAAAGCTTATGTTATGTGCTATAAGTTAAAAAATAATTTGTTCTGGCATAAACCTTATCTTCTATGTGCAAACAACCCTGAATTTATTTCAAATTTCTTTGAATTTGTTTTTAAGAAATATGTATAAATTTCATTGGAAAATTAAGAGTGGTTGGGATCAAATCTTACTAAATTTTTTATTCAAAAATTTAATTCAAAAATTATTTTGAATTAATTTTCAAAATTTATTTATACGTTTTCCAAAATCATAAACAAAAGTTGGGAATCCACCCCACTCTATTCTTTAAAAAACATTCAATGTTTAATTGTCATTATACTTATAAATCAAAGAACTGCTAATCATGATATAATTAGGAAAATAGGAGTTGGCGTTGTTTTTTAAATAATCCGTCAATTCGTTAAAATTATACACTATCTACTTATATTATGTGCATTAAGTTAAAAAAAAAAATTTGTCCTAACATAAACCTTATCTTATATGTGTAAATAGCTCTAAATTTATACAAAAATTTTATTTATTTTTTAATAAATCACTGTTTTGTGTTGTTTTTTATATCAATTTTTTAATAATTTATACTTATATTATAAATAAAATAGCATAGTCAAATAGAGGTAGGAGTATGAACCCCATTTAACTCATTTAACACTATCTATAGATTTAAATCACTGTCATATATTATCTATACTTGTCCGAATTGTGCTGTGACCTAACTGTACGATCGCTTTTATTATTTATTACTAATGAGATAAAAATTTATTTTTTTTTTTTTTTTTTAAATAGGCACTTTTTTGCCATTTTGTACAAAAAAATTTGATGGTTCAATAACAATTTCATGACAAATACTTATTGAGTGCATTTTAATACATAAGGTATAAAGTAGTTATGAAGGGCGCATGAGCACAGCCAGTACTGAAGTAAATATACTTCGACCGAATTTAACACCCACTATAAGTATTGTAACTTAATAATTATTTGTTCTAAAATTATAATCGGGCCATCAAAATGTTTTGTAAAAAAAAAAAAATACTTAAACATGGTTATTTTAAAAAATAAAACAAAAATTGTTTTCTTATTAGAGAAAAATAATAAAAATATGCTTGTATATACTCCATAACTGTAATATTAGTAAAATAGAAAGTAACGCAAAATATTTACTGGATCAAAAATTATTAAAGATGTCGGAACATGGTGGAATAACTTGTATAAATAATAAAATGAAGACAAAATTAACAGATTTAATACATCAATCTAATATAACTTAAATCATGTTTTCATAAATGAAACTTAATTTAATAGTAGTTTTCATAATTGGTTTAAAAGGGTAATATCATCTTGCAACTGAAAAATCAACCTTCTTCTGCAATTAATTTTAACTATTATCGTAACTCAAATCTTAAATAAATAGATATTTTATAGTTATGCAGTTGTTTATTTCATTAAATTACAAAAAAACTCAGCTCAGTGAGGTCGCAGCACAATGGGGACGAGGCATAGTTGGGTCCAGTATATATGA